AAAGGGTGTCCATGAAGTGCCCCCCGCAGTGTCACAGCATCGCTGCTGGGAGCAGGGACCAGCCCGCCTCAGCCCCGGCTGCTTCCTTACCTCCGAGTGAGCCTTGATGATGTGGTACTTGACTCCGCTCTCGGAGCTGAACTCCTTCTGGCACAGGAGGCAGCGGTACTTGCCCACCGAGTGGTCCCCCTGCAAGACAAGAGCATTCTCCTGCAGCCCCGAGCAGAGCCAAAAAACACCCTGGAGGGGCGGCTCCTCCCCTGCCCCGCCGAGGGAGGTTGATGCTTGAACCTCGAAACAACAGAAAAACTCCTTTCTTAAAAAACCCAACAACCTCTGCCAGCCCTCGGTGCCAGGCCAGGAGCTCACAACCCCATCTTCTGCTCTGAGTTTCAGTCGCGCAGCGTTGGCGTTGAAGCGCCTGCGAGCTCGGAGGGCAGCGCTGGCAGTGGGTTTTTCTGCCTGTGCGTCCCCAACGCCGGTTGTTCCGTTACCACCGACACTGTCCGTGTTGTCGGGCGTGCGTGGATGGGGCTGACAGGGTCGATCTCCTCATTTCCTCACTGTCAGCAAGTCCTCGATCTCCCGGGAATGAACCACCATCTGATTTATGTCCGACGGACTCACCTAATTTTCCTTTTTACACTGTCAAACAGACGCAGCGACCGCTGGATTTCTGTCACTAGAGCCCTCGCGGGGATGACTGATGTCCCAGCTCTGCCGCAGTTCACGGCACAGGGGGGATAATGTGCTCTCTATTGACGAGAGGTTTATGGATGGGCCCCTCCAGGCGATATATACGCTCCCTGGGAATTTCTTTGTAGCCAGCTCCATGCTGTAAATCTAGATTTAGACAGGTCTTTCGTTTCAGGGACGGGCAGGCCTGGCCCCGCTGCAGGCTGGCTTCAGAAATAACTCATGAAAAAACCACCTCGGTGCATCAATCCCCGCTGAGGATGGGGAGCTGCCTGGAGCATCCTCCACTCTCGGCGAGGCTTGATGAATTTCAACCAATTCTGTGGGATTTTAGAGCGGAAACTGCAGGCCAGCTCCGGAGGGGGCTGTGATTTAGGCTGGATTTGGTGGCGCATCTGTCCACTGTCAAACTAAATCCTCTGTAAGTGCAAGAGTCACCCTGACTGCAGCGCGTGGGGGGCACAAAGCAGCAAAACTCCCCCAGTCCTGACCCTCAACACTTGGCCCCAGCTACGCTGGACCCAGAGGGTGCAGCTCTGAGGTGACAGAAAATGCTCAAGTAAATGCTTTCTGTGCACAGAACCGGACAGAAAATGGCACTGTTTTCTCTTGGGGCTGGTTTGCTGGTGGCCTGCCCGGTGCTGCAGGCTAGTAAAGGAACTGGTCCCAGTCTCCTGCGTTTGCACTTTTATCCTGCAGAAATACAGCTTCTTCTGCCGGATCTCTGCAGCCCATTTTCTAAATGATCTCATTAAGGGTTGATGTTCCAGCCAGTGTTGGAAGGAGCGCGGGAGTTTGTGTTTTTAATAACCACAGGGTATGTATTGGAGCTGCCTCCTGGAAGCTCCATTCAATGGAAGCTGCAGCTGGAAACGTTTCAGGGTATAAAGCTTTACCAGCTCGTGCTCAGTTCCAATTTGAGGGACCTACACTGAGCTCCTGATCCCTCCCCCGGGGTGGCTGCAGGCCACCAGAGCTTGCTGCAGCCGGCAGCGCTGTTGCTTGAGCAAACAGGCTCCACGCACACCGGCCACTGCTTCCAGCCTCAGCTCCGTCCCCAGGAGGCACCAGACCTGTGTCCCTCTGGCTGGGGAAGCTGCTGGGCTGCCAGAGGGGCTGCAGGGCTGCCCCAAAAACCAGAAAAAGACTCCTGATTCCCACCCGCCTCGGGAAATGTTCAGCTCCCAAGGCCCAGCTCCTCAGCTTTGGGCTCCTGCGGTCGATGAGCAGCGGCTGGGCCCCATTTCACATTGTGTACCCAACGGCTCATGGACAACTCGGAGGCTGCAGGAATCAAGCTGGACAGGGGCTGCTGTGGGACAGGCATGTTGAGGCAAGAGATGCGAGGCATTTGGTGTGTCTTGTGTCAGAGACCCGGTCCCTTGGGTGAGACATCTGCATGGCAAGACCTCTCCTCCAAGGCTGGGGCAGTGGCTAAATCCCCTCTGTCGTATCTGCTCAGCTCGAGTCTCTCTCTTCCATCTGCCTGGGGCTGTGGGTTTGACCCTGCTCAGGATGATGGCACTGAGAGTGAGCAGCAGCACCGGGATGGCACGACAAGGAGCTGAACAGTAACAACTCAACGGGTGGTGGCATTGCTTGGCCAACCCTTCCAGTGGCTGGCGCATCGCTGTTCCTTGGCCTGTTGCTTCCAAACGAGCCAGGGGGGAGAGAAAACCAAACTCCAACCCCACCTCTGAGCTGAGGCTGTAAAAGGAGGGACGTACCTTGTTGCAGTTGGCCAAGTGAGCTTTCAACCCCGAGACGCTGGAGTAAATGGCTTCACAGCACTGTGGGAAGAAACAAAGTGGGGTTTTGCCACCATCGCCCCCTCGTCTTGGTGCTGCTGAGGCCAGGAGCCCGCTGTGCCAGCGAGGCCACCGGTCCAGGCTGAGCAGCGTGAGGTTAATGTTCTGCGAGATGCGGAGGGCTCTGGTCACACGTTTCCTATTAGCACTAATGGGAGTCATGTGGCTGCATCGCTCTGCCACGGGCTGAAAAACGTCTCCCCTGAACGTCTCCGTGGAAAACGTACATTTGTGAAGCAGCCAGGAGGTCCTGCTGGGCTACAGGAGTTCTTGGAGCCACAGCAGACGCTTAACGGGGAAGAGAAATCACCCGGGCAGCAGCATGACCAGTTTCTGAGCAACGTCTTTTCAAAGTGCCTGGGTATGACATTAATTAGCCAGCGCGTCTCCCCAGGCCTTGTGGTAACAGCCTCGTTCAAAGCTCCCACTGGCGAGGCTTTGTTTCAGATGATAAATCAACGGCCCAGCACGAGGGTGGAGTTCACCTCCCCACCAGCTCAGGCCAAGGCTGCTTTTCACAGCAAGACGAAGCGAACGCACCAGGTCCCCGAGGTCTTTGCCTGTCACGGGGCTTTATAAAGAACGGCTTGAAACCAGCCCCAGCTTTGCTCAGGGAAAAGCAGGTTCTCTGCATAAAAAGGCTGTCAAGCCCAGAGTGTGCAAAGCCTTTGTCCTGTCTGGATCTCCAGAGCTTCCCAAGGGCAGCTCCGGAGCCTGAACTGGGCAATGGTGAACCCTGAGCCCAAAGGCATCTGAGGGGAGGGTGGCCTGGTCCCCAAGCCCGGTCGCTCGAGTGCACCAGGAGGGTCCCAAATGTGGGACACGCTTCAACCAGGCATGGCAGCCACCCCAGGGAGAGTGGGAGAAAACAAGGTCCCAGTATCACCGCCAGCTTCACCTGGGGCCCAACAAGAACCTGGCTTCAGTGGGTTTCCGCTCCAAAAACTTGCCCCTTCCCCCTGCAGATCGAGACCAGCCAACACAGAGGAGAACAGAGACAGTCCTTACGTTGTTGGGACAGTTGATGCGACCCTTCTCCTTCACTTCGTTCTTCCAGTTTTCCAGCAGCCTCGGATTGAGCTTTGGAAGCCCCGGTCGGGTGTAATTGAGCTGTGAACAACAGGAGACGATTAGCGGAGCGGCACACACCAGTCCTGTCCTTGGTGGAGTCCTCGCTCTTCACATGGCTCTTGCCCCACTCTGCCTCCCTCAGAAGAAGTGAATCGGGGCTGAAAACTAGTTGGAAGGCTTCCCCCATGGATGTCATCTCCCCCTCTGGGCACTGCAGGGCTCTGCCAGGCTAGGGGGGCAGAGCAGGAGCAAACAGGAGAGGGGAGGCTCTCGTTCCCAGGCCCGTGACCTGGGGGGTTTTGGTGCATCACGTCGGCCCGGCCTTTCTGCCGCGTTTCGTAACCGGGAGAATAAACAACCCTGCACGCTGGGCAGAGGGGACGGGTGCCAAGAGCCTCCGTGGCTGCTTTCCACCCATGAATGGGCACAACCCGCGAAACAATGAAAGGCTCTTGTGTCTCTGCCTCTCCTTCTGGCAGGCCTGCTCTTCCCAAGTGCTTTTAATTATCGCTTTATTAGCGACTTTGAGGTTTTAGCATAGCAGGCCGGCCTTCCCAACTCCATTTCTGCGTGTTCAGCAGAAGCGAACGCGGCATCTCCGTGCCCCGCTGCTGTACCTGCGGGCTTGGTCGCTGTGGTAGGGGACACGGGGCTGCTCTGCCTGCAATCTCACCTGCCTGCCTGCTGCAAAACCACGCCGGCAAAACTCCTGGCCCAACCGGGTGAGCTCTGCTAGGACCAACAGTCAATGCTTGAATCCCTTGCTCCAGACTAGAAGATCTTCAGAGGTCCCTTCCAACCCCTAACGTTCTGTGATTCTGTGAAACTCTGAGCTGGAGCAGGGCTGGGCGAGCTCACGTGTGGCACCTGAAAACCTGCTGCTCTCCGTGGGCACCTACAAGCCGGCACAGACAAACAATGCAAAGCCAGGCTCTGGTTCTGAAACCTGTCCCTGGCACCCGGCGCTTGGGGTTGGCTGCATTTCTCCTCCAGCTGTGACTTTTCCTCCACATGCTGATAAAGCCGTGAGTTTGCCTTTGCCCGGCTCTCCCTGAGACGGGCTGTGCCCAAACCACCCTGCAGAGAGGAGCTCCCACCGAGGGCTCGACACTAACTCATTTCCACTCGAATTTAAGGGACCCGCAAGCCCCTGCAGCCCCTGCAGCACGTGGCCAGAGAAGAAGGGAGCCCAGGGAGAGCTGGGCGAGGGGCAGGGGCGAAAAGCCTTGTGAAATGGGGCGACGAGCGCTGCTAAGGACGGATGTGGAACAATTCCCCGCGCCCCGGCATGCTGCTATTCTGTCGTGCTTCGCGGCTGGGGGAGATGCCAACAGAGCTCTTTGAAGCTCTGGGGATGGTGCATCTACCAAGCGCTTGGGCCCCCCGCCCAGGGAAGGCGATGCCACCTCCGGGGGAGAACACAGTCCCTTTTTGTCATTGATACTGAGAGCCGAGATGCCAAACGGCCTCCTTAATTAAAAACCAATCCATCCCATGAATGAGCAAACATTAACGGTAACCACACGCAGCCCCGGCAACAACCTCTCCCTCTGTGCTTCCCCCGGGAGGAGATGAGGGGGGATGTTCAGAGACGAGGATTCTGCTGCTCCAGAGAGAAAAATCCCTCCCTGCTCTCCTCCAACAGCCCTGCACAATAACATGCAAATCCCATGTCTTCCCAGGGCGCTGCGGTTCTGGGAATGTCAAAGTCATCTTTATGTCTCTATTAAGAGGGAGCCCCAGGCATGGAATATTTTCTTTTTTTTTTTTTTCCCCCCATTTATTTTCCTCAAACAGCCTGTAAGTGAAAATCTTCATGGCCAAATCATTAAACGACTACAACTGCTTTTGGCCGCAGCCCATCTCTTGTGAACAGTCGAAGGATGCCGGGGTGGGAAGGCTTGTTTTCTTTGACTGATGGTTTTATTCCATTAACTTTCATATTTCAATCCTCTCTGCTCCCTAGACAGCTCTCCTCTTCCCCAAAATACATCACGGGAAACGAGAACCATGCAGGCTGTCTCGGCCCTGGCCAGCGAGCTTCCCCGGAAGCCTCGCCGGGGTCCCCAGCGCCGGGCACGGCTCTCCAGTTGCCCCGTGGAAACGATGGCCAATGCTGCCTGGGAGGTGAAGTCAAAACTCACCCGGGGTGCTGGTCAGGAGCTCGGTCTCGTACGCAGCTCTGGACGCAGCCGGAGTCGGGATCTGGTTTGTCACAAGTCCGTGAGGCTCGGCCTGGCTCCCACCCGGATTGCGGGGCCATCATTTTGAGGGACAAACCCAAGCCAGGCTCTTCTGCTCCGGAATTTATCCCAGCTCCAGGATGGGGTTTTATTGAAAAACTCAAGCCTGGAGACAACTTTTCCCTGGTAGCTTTATGACCAGCCTCTGGCAGCCTTTCGCTCTGGCCCCCAGTCACCTGGCATCCACGGGGATGTGCAGCATTTACAGCCACCCTGAGCCCCGGGGAAGTGAAGCGAGCGCCCCTGCGCCCCACGGAGGAGCTCCACATCCCCTTCTGCCACAGTTTAACAGAGGGAGGGGTCCTGGTTGCGGCACAGCGGCTGGCGGGGGGG